ACACACACACACACACACACACACACACACACACACACACACACACACACACACACACACACACACACACAGGCGGATGACCTACTGAGGCGTTTGAGCTGAGGTTGAGGCCGGGGGCGGGGCAGGAGGAGGAGGACGAGAGAGGAAGAGGAGGAGGAGGAGGGTGGTGATGATGAAGGTTTACCTCGTCGGACTCGGCGCTGCGGCGCGTCGACCACAGGAACTCCATGATGGCCACGAAGACGGCGATGATGAGGCCGCAGATCAGGACCACGAAGATCCCGCCGATGTTCTCCATGCCGAGACCTGAAACCCACGGAGACGACGAAGAAGTTTGTCTTATTTTGAAAGTTAACCAGCAGATCAATTAATAACAAGTTTGATTATACTGTATGTAAACCTGTAACGCTTTTTGTGTCCAGCTCTTGTCTTGATCTCTTCGTCAATCGATAGAAAATTAATCGACAACAATTCTGTGAATCAATTCATTTTCTGTCATTGTAAATTCATTATTTGGGGTTTTTGGACTGTTGGTTCCGGATGTTCTCGTATCTTGACCTACGAATATTTAATGCCCGTAATTTATATACGTCTCATTAAATGAATTCATATATATTCCACATAATCACTAACGAGGAAGTATAAACATCGGACTTTGATTTATTTGTCTCGTCAGTGCTTGCGTAACAGCACTTTGTTGTTTTAACCCAAACGCAGATGTTCTCCGATAACCTAACTGAGCTGTTTCCTGTAATGACGGAAGTTTATTTTGAAAATGCTGAATGCGGAAATTGACACGTGTTGTTAGACTTTTGTTGGAAAATGAACCTACAACGAACTTTTGTACGAGGACACGTTGGTTTGTCAAAGAAATCTCTGAACTTATAACGACCAGTTCTTATTATTTTAGGTCATTTTATAAATCAAACGATTCATCGATTAATCCATAACGAAAGTCATTTTTTCTTTCTCTTAACAATTTGACCTGAACTACAGACGACGGATTGCGTCCGGCTGCTTGATTCTCTCTCTTTGTTTGAACAGTTTAGAGATGAGTGACTCACTCATTCACCCAGAATCCACTGAGTGTCTGTGAGCCGATCATTTACCTTAACTCACACAATAATCATCACAAATAGTCTTTCTTTGAGCAGCAACACAAGAGTCTTTAAAATGCATCTCACTCCAGAACTTCTAAAGAACCGACAGCAGATTCATTTAGAACCGGTTCCCGTTTGGAACCCAGTTCCGGGGTTTGCGTTTGTACATCCAGGTGAATAAATCCAGGAAGACAAGGAAATGTTTCTGTAACAGTTAACGGAAGAGTCCGATCATTTTTTCTGGCATCCGTTTGCAGAGAGTTCAGCTCTGAAGAACGTCTGAGCCGTGACACCCACCTTTGGCCCGGTGGTCCTCCTCTTTGAGACACTGTCCCCCCTCCCACCAGCGTCTCTTCAGGATCTCCAGCCTGTTGCTCTCCTGCAGCTGTAAGATCCCCAGAGTGATCTCGTCTCGGTACGGAGAGCCTGAGGACAAACAAGCTCTTTATTGAGGAATAAAGGAAGTGAAAGCCACAGCTCAGCTGCTCACCTCTCCGTTATTAAACATGTGTTGAGCTGCACTAACGGGCACGATGCACACTCTTTATTTCTGTGCTGACATTTTGCTTCTGGGGAGCTGATAAACTGAGAAAAGACTGAAGCAGCAGCTGCATCTTTGAATTACAATCTCGTTTAGTGCAGCTGAGGTCTGCTGTATTCAAAACCAAATAAAGACCTTTTAATGGGAACATCGACTGGTTATACATAAGAGGGACGTCAGCCACCGATCCTGTCTCACAGAAAATAAGTTTACGACTCATTTAGCCTTTTGATTGGCTCCTCGTCCACTTTGGAGCCTACGACAACCAATCACAACCGTTTAACTAGCATGAGGCGCAACTGGGAAGAGGAGCAACGTTGAGACCACAGACTGTACTCAAGAAGTGGACGTAGTCGTCATGACATCACCCATTGGCTTGTGGACGTTTTGAAGCCTTGAGTTCGACGATTTTTTGTGCAACCAGTGAACAGGAAGTGACCATATCTGGACTGAGGATGAGCGACGTAGAGACACCGTATACGTCTCTGGTAGAGACCTGTCAATCACAAGGTAGCCCTGCCTGTGTTGATGTGCAAAATGATCTTTCAAATTGACAAACACACGGCACAATTCTAACAGGATCAAAAAATATTTGTCTCTCCTTGTTGACTACCGTACAGATTCTTCCTGAAATAAGGTCCCATGGGGAGCAGGGGGGGGGGTTGTTAATTATCAGTTGCCTGACATCACCAGACCAAGTCACCTTTAAAAACTCTGGGACCAGATTTAGTTAATTTATTACAGAGAAACTGTCATAAAACCGCCCTGAAGTGCTGAAGATGACTCAGCTCAGTGGTCACTTTTCTTCACCTGTCATTAATATTTGTAAATGATGAAGCTCTCATCCTCACCTCGCACTCACTTCCTCCCTCATCCATCTTCTTTCTTGTTCCATTAAAAAGAAACAAAAGCTTTCACCACAATGACCGACAGCAGGAAGTGTGTGGCTGTTTTTAACAAAGATAATGTAAAAGATCATTTGAGTCTTTTTACAAAAGTCATGACGCTGTCACTGGTTCGACGCTCCATATTTTCGAGATATAGAATGATTCATTCGTCATCGCCTGACTTCTTTCTCTTTATGTTTTTATAAAAAACTGCCTTTGATGCCAAATACCTTGATTTCCAAATTGATTTTGAGTTTCCAAAAGAAAGATCAACCTCAGGTAATGTTTCCAAAAAGGAGGGATGCCATTTTCTCTCTCCTCCATCTTTCCCGAATTCTTCTGTAATTCTACATTGAAAGATACTTTTACCTTTGATACTTTAAGTACATTTTGCCAACAACACTTACATATTTAAAGTGATATTTTATGTGTAATGGAGTGTATTTATATTTTAGCTTTGCTATGTTTACTTACTTAAATGATGTGAATACTGCTTCCAGCACCAATGCATTCTCATTCCCTCATACTTTAACGCACTGGCAATAGAACTACTTGGTTCGGTTTAGTAAAACATGTGAACATGTGGGACATGTTTTCTTTGTGTCGCTCGGAACAACATTTTCGGTATAGGTTAGGGTTAGGCAACAAAAACACCACAATAAAACCATAACACAGTCTCACCAGCAGGGGGCGATTCTTCCGGTTGCTTATTAAGCTTGGTTTGTTTCTCCACAAGTTTGGTGCTGTTTTATAAGGTCTGTTTCCTGAGAAGAGGCATCGAATTAAAGTCACATATATGAATTTAACACCAACAAGTTTGAAGTTTTCTTCTGATCTGACGATATTTTCCTTCTGATACAAGTCACTGTTAAAAAACTGATTTTGGTTCAGTTGTGTTTAGGTTTGGGTTGAGATAAGTACTTTTTTTAAGGACAGAATAGAATCGTGGTTTGAGTTAGAATGACTACTTCGCCTTCGCGGTTACACTAATTACCACCTTAGGGAACGACGATGGTTGAAAAAGACTCACGTTCACTGTCTGTTGGAAACGGAAAAAAGAGATTGAACTTTAAACTCCCACAACATGAAAACCAAAATGACTTTAAAGCAGCCGCGAGTTCTCATTTTCTCTTTTGAAGCCGATGCTAATCGCTCTCTGTCAGTCAACGCAGACAGCATGGGGACGGCGTCTACCAGGGGCACCGGGCCACTCTGCTGCTTTTATTGTCATCACTTAACAGGCAGGTTGACTGGCAGGCTGGGCTCCCAAATACTCCTCATCTTTCTGTCTCCGTCTTCCCCGCTGTTCTCCACTCTCCACATCTGTTGCTTCCTCCACCATTAGCTATGCTAATCTATGCGCCAAACACTCATCACCAGAAACAAGTCTGAGGCAGATGACGAGGCGAGCCCAGACACCGGCGGAGAAAGCAGACCGAGGCCAAAATTGGAATCGGGACGGCTTTAATTTGCCAAAGAGCAGCAGCTGCACAAAGAACATGACCTGGTTAACAGAACCGACACACAAGGTGCCGGACAAAACGTGAGGCGGCCTCAATATATCACAAACAATATGTGATGTGACAGCCGACTAACCACAATCACACCTCACACAAACACACAGAGGCAGGTTGCTGCTGTTCTCTGTTTCCAGGAATGATTGAAACATTCATCTGAGGACCTGTAAACCTGAGACGGTCACAAAATCTGAGTTTACAACAAAAATGGAAAAATTCCAAAAATGAAGATTGATACCACCGATGTGACCGTTGACCACGTTTACATGCACACTCATATTCCACTGTTATTCAGAATATGACAATCTCCCTAATTTGATATGTGTAATACAAACATGTTTGGATATTCTGAATTAGGCCTTATTCCGAACGGAGCATTTTATGATTAAAACATGGTTTTGGGAGCATTCTGTCTCTATTAGGTCTCAGTATGGCACTTTGAGACACACGTGAGATGCAAACCTACTTTTAAACATTATGAAGGACTTACATTTTAACATGTTTTTGGATATGAACAAATATCTCAACGCCAACTTTTTCAAGAAGGTGTTTGAAGTTCACACAATAACTGAAATAAACATATTTTAATGCAAAGAAGCAAAATGGAACAAGCGACTTTGCACTTTACCATATTTAGACGAGATAAAGGATATAAAGGACGTGTTAGGACATCGACCTGTCAAACAAAGCAGACACCGACGTCAACGTGGGATTCACTGATGATGAGGATGGGAATATTAATTTGTAAACAGTTTATTATAAATATTGTCTTTTTCAGAATAAGGGCAAAATAAGAGAATATCTGGTGCACGTAAACGTAGTCACTGTTACCGACTTCTTTTCATTTTCCTTACTCTCTGAAAGCTCTAAACTCCCCAAATTGTGGAAACATGTTGCAGACTACCAGTTTGATTTCTTTAACTCACCCAGAGGCATGCCGATGCCGTATCCTTTGGTGTCCAGCAGTCCTCCGATCTGCGTGAGGTTGCAGTTGAGGCTGCGGTAGTACTCGTTCATGGTGCTCTCCATCAGAAAGGCGTACTTGGAGTTGAGGACGCGGGCAATGCCTTCCTCGGTGCTCTTCACAAACACGCTGGGCTGCTTGGAGTTCATGTAGTTCCACATCCGCTGGTACGTCTGGTACCGCGAGTTCTGGAGGAGGAGAGGAAGAGGAACATTTGTCTACCTTTACTGTTGCTATCAGAAGAAATTGCCGAGTTCCAAGATTGATGGTCGCCCATCACAACTCAAACTAAACCCAGAGAGTGTGTCTCGCCCCCCGTCTCACCATGAAGAAGGTCATGGTGGACCCTCCGTGGATGGTGCCGTACTGGATGTTGGTTTGGTCGGCCAGATCGTCCGGAGACTCGATGGGAGCCACCATCCTCTGCACGGTGAGAAACGCCGCCAGGTTGGCCGTGTAGGACGAGATGATGATGAGGGTGAACGCCCACCTGAGAGGAGCAGAGAAGAAGATCAGCTTTCACCTTTATTTACCCTGAGAAACTTTCAGACACTCGTCTTTTTCTCTCTCTCTTCATGAAGGAGCTGCGAGAGGTAAGCAGGAGGGAGACAGATGGAGAGCTCTGCAGGAAATGTCAGGATTTTCAGGTAAAAATCATCAACCTGAACATGAACTCGGGCTGCAGCAGAGAGGAGCAGGACACCTCCACTGCAGAGGAAATTAGACAGAAGTGATGAGCAAGGGAATTATGAAGGGAGCCGAGAGAGATGGAGGCAAACAGAGAGGGAAGGAGGAGGAGAAAATGATGGAGGGAAGGAGAGATGAGATAGGAGTGAGGAGAGTAGAGTTTGGCTTCTGGTCATTTTGTCATATTGTATTCCCTGAAAATTCATAATTGTGATTGGCTGGACGGCCCAGTCGGCAGGAACAATGTTTTGGCATTGTACATTTCTGCAAACAAAGGACATGCTCAACCTATTTTCTTTTTGCATGCGGTAAGAGCAAGTAGTAGTAGTAGTGGAAGTAGTAGTTCAACGAGCGATAAAAAGAACAAGTGATGTAGTATATTACGTTGTTCCATTCCGTTATTACGTTCTGTTGTTACGTTCTGTTGTTATGTTCCGTTGTCACGTTACATCGTCACGTTATGTCGGAATGTCAGTAGGTTACAGCGTTATTTTGTTACATTACATTGAAATGGAAAGTCGTTACGTTACATTGTTTCGCACTTACAACTCTACGTCGTTCGGTTACGTCGTCGTCCGGTTACGTCGTTCCGTCATTACGTCGTTACGTCGTCGTTTAATTCCGTTGTTTCGTTACTCTATGACGATACATTATTATTCGAATACCAACCGTATTTCTTCGAACCGTAACCAAAAGGTTTTGTTGCCTAAACACAACCAACGTTAACAATGTAGCATTGTACTTTTCTGCAAGCGTGAAAGAAGACAGTCAACATAACCGGTTGCAGAAACGTACAAAGCCAACATTTCTGACTTCTAAACTTATAACTTCTAGTAACCTATGATGCAGGTTTGAAGAGGTCTTTATTTTAAATATAACTGTTTATTGTTGCAACACAAAAGTATTTATTCATTACAACTTAAAAGATAAGATAGAATAGAAGCACAATATGCACTTCTTCTATTTATGAACCAAATAAGCCTCGCTGGAGTTTTGACCTCTTCAACCAATGAGCAAGACAGACAGACAGAGAGACAGACAGAGAGACAGACAGAGAGACAGACAGACAGAGAGACAGAGAGACAGACAGACAGAGAGACAGAGAGACAGAGAGACAGAGAGACAGAGAGAGAGACAGACAGACAGACAGACAGAGAGACAGAGAGACAGACAGACAGAGAGACAGACAGACAGACAGAGAGACAGACAGACAGACAGACAGACAGACAGACAGACAGAGAGACAGACAGACAGACAGACAGACAGACAGACAGACAGACAGACAGACAGACAGAGAGACAGACAGACAGACAGACAGACAGAGAGACAGACAGACAGAGAGACAGACAGACAGAGAGACAGACAGACAGACAGACAGACAGACAGACAGAGAGACAGAGAGA